CTTCAGCCGTATTGGCTTCGGGTGAGGCGGGTTTGCTTCCTTTCGCCGGAGCCTGCAGGTTCTCCCGCACATGCGCGATGAGGCCCTGCTCGTACGCGTCGAATGCATTGACGCGCTCGAGCTGCTCAGCCGGTGTTGATACCACCAGGCTCTGCAGGGCCTCCATCCCGAAGATGCCTGCCATCTTCCGAACCGACTCGAACTGAGAGTCGTTCATATGGGAGAAGTCGTTCCTATCCATGGCAACGAACTTCGGAGGTTCAGGTAGTCTACCCGCGATGGCGTGGATTGACTACGAGTGCTACCAAGTGTGACGGGGTCACACAGCACCTTGCGCTAGAGGAAGTTATCTTCCGAGAGTATACAAACTCTCAGTGAACGGCAGTTCACAGGTCCCCTCTTTAATTAAAGAGAGCGAAGTGACCTAAATAAGGTAGATTGTAAACTGAGTATATTTATAGGTAGGTTAAGTTTGAGGTTAATACAAACTATCAGTTACCTATAGAAATGCAATGTCATTTAACCAATGGTTGGTTTTGAATGACCTTGGTACCTTGTACCAAATATCCCGGAGTATGACATGTCATACTCCTGAAGTGTGAAGTGTCACACTTCATGTAACCAGGGTACACTTAGTGCTACGTACCCCGTTACACCACAACTGTCCCTGTCGCAATGGAAGCTACGGTACTGGTGCCCGTTGTGACATTTCTTCATTCTCCAATTCACCATCCCGTCACCGTATGTCCAAGCGTCTGAATCGAGCCGTGTTCGACGTGTTTCAGCGTCTCAATCCTCGCCGACGTCGCGAACGTGAACAGCTGGAGGTACGTCAGCTCATCCTCTTCTTGAATCATCGGCGCCTTGCTCATCACCATGCATTACCCGTCTTGTTTCTTAGGAGGGCAAGACCGAGGGTTCAAACGCCCCTCAGTCTGCTACACCTCCCCTGACAGCAGCATCATCAGCTGGTCCTCCGGCGCTTCCTGCCCCGGACTCTTCACCCCCTGCGGCAGCTCCTGCAGCACTTCCTGTCGTCGCTGAATCCGCGGAGATGGCTCCTGCTGCTTCTCCTGCCCCAGCTGGTGGTCCACCACCACTCACCGATATTCGCTGCGCGCCATACTGGCTGAAAGTACGGAGGCATCGGTCGATTACATGATGACCTCGATAATCCCGTACTTGACTGCAATGGCTCGTCACCAAGTGCAGCTCAGCGTTGCGCCTCCTCTTCACGGCGATGTCCACGCTCAACGTCGGCTCGAGACTGCTGTTGGCTTCGATGATGTCCTCGCTGCGGTACAACCGGGTTTCTGACGCGCTGTCGGCCTTACCCGAACGAGTTGCCGACTTGGAGCGTCAGTTGCGGTTTGCTCAGTCCGAGGCTACTGCCGCCGCACGTTCGGTGGCACCCGAAATCATGGCTCGTGAGAACGCGGAGGCGTTCCTCAGGGCTGCCAACGCTGAGATTGAAGCCCTTCACCACAATGTCAAGATCCTCCGCGTGTCGAACGCCAAGAACGACGCCATGCTCGCCACTGCTCAAGCCACTATGGAGCGACACGCAGAAGACTTGAATCGTCTGCACTGCGAGGTCCAAGCTCGGGACGTTTTCATCAGCATGTTGCAGAAGCATCTGGCTCGCGAACGCGAGGTGTACAAGTCTTCCATTGGAGCGAATACCGAGCAGACTCGGAAGCTTCATCTCCTTCTGGTAAAGCTTGCCCAGGGCAAGTATGTTGATAACGACACGCTCAAGGTCCTCGAGAACCAGTACGACCGGAACACTCGCCTCCTCCAAGCGAATCGCACCCTCCGTGCACACGTGCGTCTGGCCGGGATGGATCCCGAGATACTTCGTCTGGCTGTTGATGGTACGTTCCTAATGTCGCTCCTTCCACCGTGTGTTCAGCAACTAACGTTCGTTCACAATCCTTCGTGATAGGTCTGACTGCGGGTGGGCTGGACCTGGACACGCTGGACTTGGATCAAGAGACGTTGGTCGCTTTGCAGCGCATACAGTCTGCCACCGCGTCTTCGGACGATCCTCAAGCCCTTCCTGCAGCTTTGGTCAAGG